GCATGCTGAGTGCATGAGCTGACAAGCATTTTTGAGCTTCTTTTGAGGTGATGTATTACTAATAATAGCAGTCTTGGTATCATGTAATTGTGTTACTAAAAATAGCAAGCTGATTACTCACTGCAGTGGCTTTGTTTGTATAATGGTACCAATCATAATTATGTTTAAATCTTGCTAAAACATTTTTTAAAGGTATACTAAAATTCAGCAATTAAAAATAATAATGTATTATAATCAGCAATTCAGCATCACACAAACTCAGTTATTATTAATATCAGTTAATTGTTACGACGAGTTTTCATCTCAGAGAACTTGAGAGAGTAGCTATTACCTTTCCACCCACGCCAGTTAATTCCATTTTCCCCACTAGCATCAGTTGGATTAGTATAATAACGACCATTGAGATGAGAATAATTACAATGTTCAAACCACCAAGCACCTTCACGTTGTTGAGGACAAGTATTTGAGAGTTTGTCATTATCACGATCTCTTGTTGAGAATTTCTTTCCACTGTGATAGGCCAGACTATTCCCAGCAGTACCAGAGTATCCTTCTGCTGTTAGTGTATATTCAGTACTACCATCACTAACATTAAATGTAGAGTATTTAGCATAAGCTTTGTTGTTACTAAAGTCTCCCAGGTCCACTCTTAGTGTGTTTGATCCTTCTTTAGTAAGACGATGAATCTTGCTCAATCCTAACCAAAACTCACCAGTAAGGTCACCAAATCCATTCTCATAGTCAGTCCAGTATCTATAGAAATCAACAGATCCATCTTGTCTCCTCTGAAATACAGTCCATCCACCACCATGAGTCTCCATATCACAGTATACCTGTGATCCAATAGTGTATAATTATAAAGTATAATACAATCAAACATTACTTGGAAAGCTGGTCCATCATCTGGTGTTATAGGGTATACTCCACTTTGGTTTTTTCCTAGTTCTTTCCATGCTTTACAATCAGTTGGCATTACACATTCTAAAGGAAGAGAAGAGAAAATCACAGAATAGTATTGAATATCTTCATAGTAATCATAAACTTTATAATTGGTATTATTGTACCTGGTATAGCATTAACACTAGTGTTAGTAACAAGTGGAAAAGTTTTCTTCTCCTTCTCATCATCAGGACAGTTTCCATTGACAGTATTAATAATAACAATTATTATCATTAAACTGTACATCAGTTTACCAGCTAACATCATCTTGAGTAGGAGTTACTTATATCTTCTATTGAAAAAGAGAGATCAGAATAAATCTTAAAGTAAAGAGTGATTTTCCTCCTTTTATAATGAGTGAGTAAGTGATTCTGCTTGTAGGAGTATTGTTGTGTTAAGAATGAACCATAATGTTTGGGTTGTAGTAGAAATAATGTTTTAAGCTTATTTTCATTAGCATTTCTATTTAAAATGGTTGTTTAAGTTTTTAAATTAACATTAGTCAGCATTTCTTTATTAAGAACATGTTTACTCGAAGCAACGTTCTGTTAAAATAAGTCATTTTAAATAAAATATATTATTTTAAGAATAAAATAAATTTTTGTTTTCTTCTTCTTTTGTTATTGAACCATTATCATGGAAATGTCATTTACCACTCACTTTATTGCTAGTAAAATGATTTATAAGTTGTATTATGATATCAATCACTGATGAGGTTTAATATTGTTAGAGAATAACTTTACTATAAAAGTAACAAAATAATCTAAATACACTAAGTAATAACTGATTCTACACAATCCTGTCACACACACATTATTTGTGTTTAATTGTTACGACAAGTTTTCATCTCAGTTAACTTGAGACTATAGCTATCTCCTTTCCAATCATACCATATGATTCCATGCCAGACACTAGCTCCAGTTGGATTAGTATAATAATGACCATTGAGATGTGACTGATGGCAATGAC